GCATTGCTACAAGTAAATGATAAGCTACACTTGTACTGATTTAAATTATGTATACATGTTCAAGTAAGACGGTAAAATTGCAATACCTCTTGAGAACTGGCCTCCTGACCTTTTATCTTCTCATTCAATCTTTTGATATTGTTGTCCCTGAACTTTATGATCATTTTGTTAGTTTGTATCGCTTTATCCTTCTTGTCACATAGTTCGCGTAACTTTTCTATTTCCATATGAAGATCCTATCAATAGATGAACATTTAAAGGTTTCCATTTTGACTACATGTATATTAGTTTATACATATTGATTTTAGTTTGATTGTATGGAAAGCTATAAGCTTATTGAAACACTCTTGAAACCGTTCCTGGAACCAACCAGTACTAAGCAATGAATGTAAAGTTTCTTGCTCAAGGAAACAACAGCTTGCCTCTGACGGGGTTTGAACCCACACAGTCAGCAATCCTTAAATTACTAGTCTGATGCGTTAACCACTCATGTATATTATACTGGTTTGAAAACAAACCACTGTGTTTAGTAAAAACATTCATTGGTGGATTTTTTTTTTAAATAAGTAGACAAAATTTCTCTTAGGAACTCAACCGAGGTCAAAAAACCTAAAACCATAAAATTTGAAATTCTTACATAAATCAAGTGAAACACTGAAAATGAAAAAAATTGCACAGGATAATCAAGAAATATGTTCAGAATTAAATTGTATAGCAATTTTTTGTGCGATTCTTAGCCAGATTTGAGGGAAAAGCCTTGCAACACTATTCATTTTAAGCAATTTTGCCCAATAAAAATTATTATTCTGGAAGGGAATGATCTGAAAAATTTGCACACAAGTTATTGGTCCAGAACTTCATTAAAGTATACAAATCTGGAAAAATATTTCCAGTCAAATATTTTCATTCTCATCATGTAAAAAAAAAACTCAATGGAGTCCCTTTAACAGTCTTTATAACTGGTATTAACTTATTAAGAAGTTCTTTCTCACATAATTTTGATAGATATATTAAATAACCAAGGCATATAATACCCAAAATCCGTAGTTATATTAAATTTATAAACTGACCTGATATTGTGATTGGTATTCCCTCTCTAAATCTTTTAATTTATTGTTTAGATATATTTAAATAAGACAATATATATCATATATTTCCTTTATTACCTGTTTTTCTGTTTCTGTGACCTGACGTAGTCTCATTGCCTGCAAAAACATTTCTTTTAGTACTGGCATTTCAACCTCCACTTCAGCTGTATAAATATTAGAATTAGTATAATTAGTCACCAATTATCATAACTACAAAACAAGAGTGCCATAATAGTCCTATATCACTCATTAGAGCAGTGCATTTTTCATATTTACCAGAATGGTGGCAAGGCAGAGGGAAATATTGCTCCACAGAGTGAAAACTAGTCAAAATTGAGAAACAGACAAAACAGTCCTAACTTTTGTTAAATATATTCATACAAGACATTTCAAAATACAAATATTTCTCTTTGGTCCACTAATCTAAAAAAGAAATGTTTTTTTGTTGAGGGGGACTTTTTCAGGAATAGGAGAAAATTTAAACTTTTTAAGAAGAGGAATGGGACTGAAATTCAGCCCAAAATCATCCCTATAACAAAACACTGCAGAGTGCTACAACAGGTCAGTCACAATTATTTTACCAAACTTTGACACCATAATAAATAACAACTTTGGTGATAATTTATTCATTGGTCCATGATAACATGAACTAATTTCACACTATTTTATTTCTAAGTAAAGCACAAACCTGACATAAGACAATTAATGTACAAGAGGATTACATACTGATTACACTGAGGTGTTTTGGCACAACAATAACAGACTCAATAGTATTCCTCATACATTGTTTGACAATTTACATCTTAAATCAATTTTATTCAGAAAATATCAAAAACTTGCTCACAGAACAGTAGAAAACTACACTTATGTTATACAACTACAATGTTTACCTGTAGAGATTGGACGTTGAACGCCTCTTTTATATAAATCTAACTCAGCAGTCAACTCTTTGACCAACGTCTGTAATTTCAGAAGGTTTCCATGCGAATTCTCATTCAGCACGGCCTGGAAGATAAAACACAACGCAAACTACATTAAAGGGACTGAAAGCAGTGTCTATTCTAGGAATTGAAAAATAGGGGTGATTTTCCCCCCTCTATTTCAAACAAGAGGGCCATGATGGCCCTGAGGTCGCTCACCTGTATATAGGCCCCAGGAGCAGGGCCAGTTTAAACCCCAGGGCTTTTATTTGAACAAACTTGGAAGACACTCATTAGAAGATGTTTCACAATGTTAAGCTTTTACTACACACATGTAATGAAAAACAATGATCTCATCCCCCTGTCCCCCCCCCCCCGGGCAGGGCCAATTTTCACCCAAGGGCTTTTATTTGAACAAACTTGGTAGTCATCCATAAGAAGATATTTCATGCTAAACATCTAAGCTCTAGTTTCATTGGGTTTTTTAAAAGAAGATTTTGTAAGTTTTTACTACACACATATAGTTAAAAACAGTGACACCCCTGGGGCGGGGCCAGTTTTGACCCCGGGCTTTTATTTGAACAAACTTTGTAGACACTTATTAGAAGATGTTTCAAGCTTAATATCTAACTCTAGCTATTTGGGTTTTTTCAAAGAAGACTTTTTAAGTTTTTACTATATGCATATATAGGTAAAATCAAGACCCCCCCGGGGCGGGGCCAATTTTGACCACAGGACTATTATTTGAACAAACTTTGTAGACACTCACTAGAAGATGTTTCATGCTTAATATCTAAACTCTAGCTATTTGGGTTTTTTCAAAGAAGATTATTTAAGTTTTTGCTATACACATATAAGGAAAATCAATGACCCCTGGGCGGGGCAAATTTTTGACCCAGGGCTTTTATTTGAACAAACTAAGTAGACACACATTAGAAGATGTTTCCTGCTGAATATCTTAGCTCTAGCTCTTTGAGTTCTTTCAAAGAAGATTTTGTAAGTTTTTTACTATATGGCATATAGGGAAAATGCAATGACCCCCTGGGGCGGGGCCAATTTTGACCCCAGGGCTTTTATTTGAACAAACTTGGTACACACTCATTGAAAGATGTTTCATGCTGAATATCTTAGCTCTAGCTCTTTGGGTTCTTTAAAAGAAGAATTTTTAAGTTTTTACTATATGCATATAGGGAAAATCAATGACCCCCTGGAGCGGGGCCAATTTTGACCCCAGGGCTTTTATTTGAACAAACTTGGTACACACTCATTAGAAGATGTTTCATGCTGAATATCTTAGCTCTAGCTCTTTGGGTTCTTTAAAAGAAGAATTTTTAAGTTTTTACTATATGCATTTAGGGAAAATCAATGACCCCCTGGGGCGGGGCCAATTTTGACCCCAGGGATTTTTTTTTAACAAACTTGGTAGACACTCACTAGAAGATGTTCCATGCCAAATATCTAAGCTCTAGCTCTTAGGGTTTTTTAAAAGAAGATATTTGAAGTTTTTTCTTTCGGTTGCCATGGCAACCAGAGTTCTGCATGGAATTAAATTCTTTGAACAATTTTTAAAGGTGACCACCAAAGGAACATTCCTGTGAAGTTTGGATGAAATTGGCTTAGTGGTTTATGAGGAGATGTCATTTAAAGTAAAAGTTTACGGATGGACGGACCACGGACGACGGACGGACTGACGCCGGACGAAAAGCGATCACAAAAGCTCACCCTGTCACTTTGTGACAGGTGAGCTAAAAAGAGGGCGATTTTCAAAATCAAAGGGTGCCAATATAAACTGCCAATGTTTAATCGTCTGCATTAAGTTTACACTGAGGCGTTCAACTGATGAAATATTTAAAACGATAATATTTATTTAAGGCAGCAGAAGTTGTACCCCCTTAATTTTTAAACGAAAACAAATTATCATAGAACCGCCACGATTGATTATAAAGGGATTGGCAATACAAATAATCGAACTATCTTTCACGTCAAGATCGTAGCCAAGCTAGGAATTGCCTCATTTTTCTTGATTATTTACTTCACTAAAATGGCGCCCAACTGTCAGACCTAGCACACTTGTTCCGGTTGATACGGAACATTCCGTTAATTTCCGTCAACTCACGTAACCAGTACCATACGGTACTAAATTATTATAATTAGCTTACAGTTACCTCCCTTCGGTTTTTGGTGTAAATATAAACAAAACAACCAAATATAATGCGGGATGGAAGTTTTACGGTTTTATTAACTTTTTTTATAGATGCGCGATTTTCACGCACATGATTTTGAATTGTGCGTGATCTGTTAAATACTAGCGTGAATCCCGCAATCGCGCGTCCTAGAATAGACATTGCTAAAAGACCCTTTTTAAAAAAAAAAACAACAAACCAATAGATCTAATTCTAATATGGATAAAGTAAAGCCACAAAGCATGCTCTTTGATAGAATTTATACAACATTTCACTTAATGTATTAATTCAACCCACTAGCGATTGTATAATTTTTACTTTCAGCTTGATTTTTACTACTAACTTTAAGCTGCAAAATTCATTCCACATTTTGTATTGCAAAACTGTAGAATATATATTTAAGTGAAATTTTAGAAAATGATGTATAAATGATCAAACTTTTTGTTGATTTCTTTTTTAACTATAACACTTCTACATATATATATTTAATGCATCATGACAGTTGTCTATAAAGTTATTGATCAATACAATAAATTGCAAGAAACTATATTTTCTCAAAATGCTTCAGAATCAAAATAAAAGATAGAATGCATTATGACAGTTGTCTACAAACTTATTGATCAATATAATAAATTACAAGAAACTATATATTCTCAAAATGCTTCAGAATCAAATTAAAAGATAGAATGCAATTTGACAGTTGTCTACCACCTTATTGATCCGTATAGTAAATAACAAGAACCTGTATTTGTCTAAAAATATTCCAGAATCAATTAAAAAGGAAAGATTATACTAACTTTGTTCTTGATCATCTTGGCATTTTTAGCAAACAGCAATGTAGAAAGTGTCTCTCCATAACACCTGAAATATACCAGCAAGAAAATGAATGCTATATTTATAAGTTAAAGCAACACACCTCCAGGTTCATGCATATGTTCATCAAAATTTTGAAAATGATTTAATAGTAAAACATTGTGAAGTGAACCAAAAAAAGTAATTTACACATTGCAAACAGCACTTGCAATCCATGTAAATTACCAAAAGGAGGTCAAAATCTGCAAAAATAGCCTTACTGTGTTAGTAACTCAGTAGAAATATGGTGAATCAGTCAATAATCACCAAAAAAAAATGTAAATCATTACTTGAATCTTTATTACTTTACTCTGATCATGTTACATCACAGAGATCAAATGTGTGAAGCTTCAACCCATTCCCTTCTGTAGTTTTGGAGATACCAACTTGTACTCGAAAACTGACCAGTGTTTGTGCAATAGCCTTGAGGTGAGTACAATAGCTCAGACTCCCCATTCTTCTGATAGCCGTGCTAAAAACAATCACTTTTGAGCATACTTTTATACTAGAAAATTAAAACAGCAACTTACTTATATCCTGAATGTACACAGGCAATCAGACTTGTCTTCGAGTTACCTCCCAGTGAATCCTGAAAGAAATAAATAACAATATCTATTAACCATTTCCATTGCAAAAAAAAAAATCTATAAAAGGCAGTTACCAAACAGCTCCAACATAATCCAAGGGAAAAGATAATAAAAGAAGACAATGGTACAGTTAAACTTCGTTCGCTCGAACTCGGATCCCTCGAATACCGCCCTTCGCTCGAACTCATCGCCCAGTCCCGGCAAAATTCCTATATAATATATATTGTTCTACCTCGGATCGCTCGAACACCCATCGCTCAAACTCTCGAACATGATCTCTGGTCCCTTCGGCAGAAATATAGTGTAAATCACACCTTTTCGGTCGAACACAAACAGACAACAAAAGTTCTAAACATGTTCTAAATAATTGACAGTCGGTGACACATGTTTTTAACACCTCGTGAATGGACAAAGGCAATTAAGGTTAATTGATACAAAATAAAAGGTGTTGTAACCGATTTGTTTGTTACGATAAAATTATATATTTGCCGTCTTTAGTAACGATAAAAAGAAAACAACTCCTGAAATGCGCAAAAGTCAATAAATAAATGACGTTTACCCAGACGGCTTTAATTACAACCATGGTTCATGTATCGTGAATTGTCAGTGTAATCTATTTATAGAATGATACTTGTACATGTTTTTTTTAGTAAATGACTACAAATATATGCTATATGCTGCTGTAAAATGTTATTTTTTATATTTAATTAATTAATTGTTTAATTATTTGACAAACAGATGTCCTAACAACATTTATATTGACGTATTTATCATGTGACCTATGTAAGCTGGAAAACCTTTAGATATGTGTTCTATGTAATAATAGTTCAACCTCGGTTGGCTCGAACTACCGATCTCTCGAACAAATTTTCACAGACCCTCCGAGTTCGAGCGAACGAAGTTCAACTGAATTATCATTGGCAAGGATTTCATCAGAACAAACAGAAGTAGTATTTCTATTTATTTATTTACTTTTTTGCTTTTTGTTTTTTCGTTTGGTTGGGCTACAAGTCAACCTGACACACAATAAGTACCTCTCTGTGCATTATTTCAGGCACAAACAGGCACCTAAGCAGAACCAATGACTTTCTGTTAGCTTAATGGAAAGCTTCCTTACATGAAAGAATCCAAAGTCCCTGGTGGGAATTGAACACACTAGAGTTGGGTACCGCCAGAAAGAAAATACCACGGTATACCACGGTTTTTTCCTAAAAACCACGGTATAAACCACGGTATACCACGGTATTTCATTGTATGCTATATGTTAAATTTTATCCCTAAAATAAGTATCAAGGTAGGCTGGTATAGAATTTCAAATATTAAATTTAAGCAGATCTATAAAATACAGATTAACCAAAGCATCATTTAACTTTTTTCAATCAGGTACTTTCGCATGTTGACAATCATAAATTAATTGGGTCATGGATCAGTTCTTGTTGTTTTTTTTAATTACATAGGCCTATTGGTCTCTTTCAACATTTAACAACTGTTATTTAAATTGCATAGTTAAAGTGGAAAATTAAATGTTTTTATTGCTCATTGATCAATAAAATAATAGGTCAAATGCACGTTAGCTGATGACAAATATTTATTTGTCGGTTAATTTTATAACAGAGTCCCAGCTGCTATTGTAATTTTTTTATTGCAAGGGCTAAGTATTTAATTAATCTGTGTCAAAAACCAAAACAAACATGTACCCCAAAAGCAAATTAAAATTATCACATAGAAAACACTGCTGACCATGTTACTTCTTAATTGATATTCATTAGTTGAACGAACATTACTTTTAATCCAGTTTCTATGCCATTCTATAATTAGTTAATTGCCATGCCCATGCAGTAAGTGCGTGACATAAGGAAAACCCCTTGCCTGATTGGTCGCTATTTATATAAATACTTAAAATAGTAACACCCTAATTTTATGCACGGAATGCCCATATGAATTATCGATCTTTACGATTAGTTTTCGTATCAAATAAGCGATATTTGGACAAGTAAATGTAAGTCGACAATTCTTGCTTCTTCAACTGAGATCATGCCAGTCGATAATTCTGGCTTACATGCGGTAATCAATAAAGCATTCAATTTTCGCTAAGAACTATCGAAGAATGATAATAGTCGGCGAAAGTTGTTTGCATAAAGGTTAACTCAAAGAAACATTAACATATACAACAGAAAAAGTTTTTTAATTTAGTACATTTTACGGATCTGTAATTGATTTAAATTAGAGCTAAAAGTACCGGTTTTCCAAGTCTGTTCCGCGGTACGTACCGCAGGTGTCTCGGATCGTGGTTTACCGGTATACCGGTTAAACCGCGCACCTCTAGAACACACAGCTGTGAGAAGCAAATGGTTGGACATAAACTCTCTTAACCACTCGGTTACAGATGCCCCTAGAAACAAGCTATATGAAAAGAATTATATGCTTACCCTGAGCAGGAAGGTTAATTTCGAGTCACGATATGGTATAAATCTTTTCTTGCCATCTCTGGATACATTGACAAGACACATAATAACTTTACCAAGATTAGACAAACTCTTGTTAATGGAGCCAGCTTCCTGGAATATAATTATCACACAATTCTAAAATCGACATATATTTTTGGTTTTGGGGAAAAAAATCACCTATTTTTTTGGTGAATTTATTGTTTCTGATGGTGAAAAATACCCTTGCGTATTTTTCCTTTCAATAAATTCAGGAACAAGCCAGACTACAAGTAAAATAACCAACATTCCATTATTTAGCTTGTTCCAGATAATCAATCATAGAACCTCTTTGCAGGATTAAAATTTTAAAAAGGTTGGTTGGAGAAACGAAAGCACAGCCACGCATGCAAATGATATGAAGTCAATGACTTTAAGAAATCTGCATGAACACCCTGTGTAAAGTATCTAATTACAATATCATCACCAGAATAAAGCAAATATTCATACAAACATCACAGAGACAAAAGTTGATGTAATATATACCTTTAATCTAAGTCCTGTAGCAAGAGTATCTTTTTGTCTCTCACTGCCAGCTAAATCAACCAAGTTAAGTGATGATGTGATAACCTTGTCCATGCCACCTTTACACATCTGTAAATTATAAGATCATCTGTAGTGCAAGTGAATATATTTTGCTATATTGTAACCATCCTGACACTATGTACGTACATCTTTACCAGAATACTCAATAGACTATAACAATATATTGTTTAAAATTTGATACTGTCAAATGATTTACAGTAATAAGATAGTATCATACATATTTCCCTACGTCAATTTTCCACTGGAATGCTTTATCCCCCAGACCTTGTCACCATGTCTGGTCGCATGTCCAGTAAGGCTATTAGCCAGAATGAACATGTCTTGTCCTAGACACACCTGCCCTGTTTTAATCTGTTTAAAACTTTTTTCCTGCTTTTATACCCGTTTTTATTCGTTTTACTAGTGACATGCAAAGTCTAGTTCCCCAGTAGGGGTTTGACTCAATTTAAGATAGATTGATATCTAATTATAATACATACATAAAGAAATGAGTGTTCTGAAGCTTGCTTATGCATGTAATAATAAAAGAATAAAATACTGGTGAAATTTCATGCCCACGATTTGTAAAATGTGTCAAGAACTGGCACTAGTAATTATTATTTATTAGTCTTATAGAGTATAAATTTATCCTTAAAATATTCAAGTGACACCAATACAATACCTTGGACTCTATTTGAAGTGTAAACACTGCATGACTTCTAGAAGATTCTCTGTTCATGGAGGTTGATGCAACTTTCCTGTTCATCCAACTTGAACTTAATACCTTAAATAATGAAAGAGATGTGTGCATGGTTCATACCAAATTCTCAAATCAAAATTCAAGGACTTTTCAAGGACTTTTCAAGGTAAAATAGTCATTTTCAAGGCATTTTTTTCCCGATTGATCTTATTTAAAATTATACTTTTACAACCATATCTGTGATATACATTTTTATTGCAATTGATCTTATTTAAAATTATACTTTTACAACCATATCTGTGATATAAAACATGTAAATAAAACATGTGTGTTTCAATTTAAGGTTCAAATGACTAGAATTGCAAAACAGTGACTATATTTAGAAAATCAGCACAGTCAGTAGAATATATGAACACCAAAACTGTAACATATAGGTGATTGAGTAAATTCACACAACTCTATCTAATTTTCCCTTCTTTTTTGGATTTCTCTTCCAATTTCCTCAACTTCCAGTTTCTTTTCTTTGAAGCCCTTTCTTAGAATGTTTGATTCAGTCACAAATCAATGATTACTAGAAGTGGGTGGGGTGGTATTGTCATGTCATGCACAGTTTCCGTTGTGGATTGGGATGGCACAATGTTATTATTTGAATCAGATCTACTGCAATTTTCAATTTTGACATTTATAGTTCCTTCCTGTCTGAGAAATGCAAGGCCACACTTCGTCAATGACGACTTGATGTCTAGATTTTTTAGGTGCTTTGCACCCCTCGCATGCGATGTTAATGCACTCTCTCCCATTTGCGACAAATCGATGGTTTTCATACACATGGTACATTGTGCTTTTCGTGGGTCTTGTGTAACTTGTTTAACCCAACTGTATTGTTGAAGGCATTTGAGCTAAAACGTACATTTCTTAGTGTATTTTCCCATTTTTTACTTCGCAATGGAAGCTGACATTTTGTACACAATTTGCGATGACGTCATATACACAAGTGCTTGTTAAAATCCGTGCCAAAACCGTAACACTGGCTAAACACTACTAAAACAGATCCAAATGGGCGCACTCGATCGGGCTGCCTTCGTTCACATGTCCGATTTGTAGCGGAAAATTTGCCTGACCTTTACAGCGACAGGTTTTATACCCTTTTGGATTTTCAAGGCATTTTACCGAAATTCGAGGGGGTTTACTGAAATTCAAGGACAATTTTAGTGTTTTTTTCAAGGCAACCCTGAATTCAAGGACTTTTCAAGGTTGAAACCGAATTCAAGGACTTTTCAAGGCCCGTGCGAACCATGGTGTGCTTTTAAAAGTAACTACAAGATTTGTAATGTTTATAACACAGCACCTAACAATTTATCAAGTAATTTTTACAAGGATTCTTATAAGAAACTAATTGTGCAGTATTCCGAAAATTGTTATAATAACAACTATACCAATTGAATGGAGGTGTATAAACATTGTTGGTGCATTTTTTAAATATAACCCTCCTTCAACCTTTTGGTTGGGTTTTAAATCCTTAAGATCCCTTCTGTGCATTATTTTAGACACAGGCGAGCACTTGAGTTAAACAACTGATTTTCAGTAAGTTATCTGGAAAGCTTCCTCATATGATAGAATCCGAAGTCCCTAGCAGGATTTGAACCCACAGCAGCAAGGGCGCAAGTAGATTGAAGACAACAACTTTAACCACTCCGCCATGGATCCCTCCCAGCTCAGATTTGCTTAGAACCATTTATATCTAACATAACTGAGCAACAGCCTCAATACAACCAATCAGGCATGTTGCTTTTCAATAATATTAAAAATGTTTTCAATTGTTAAGCGATTAGAAATAGAGTATTTTGTTAATTCTGGTTCACAAATTCATTTGTGCGTAGACAAGCTCTACAAGCGTTAAATGAAAATCTACTTGTCTGCAGGCAAGAAGTCCTAAGACGGATAAGTTGGGCATAGGATTTCATCACCACTGCACATTCCATGACTGTGCGCAAAAATCCACAGTCATCTTACCATACCAGTGTATACTATATATTAAGATAATGTGCAAAAAATAAAACTTAATTACAAACTTTATTCACCTCATAAGCCTCACTGGCATTATTGACAACCTTTTCTGACAGATTTTCCACATAAACACCAGTTTTCAGACTCTCTCGTAGTTGTAGGGAAGATGATGACGGCTCTAGAAGGTCGTATATCTGTTCATTGTATATCTCCAGGAACGAACATTTGCATAAAAACTGCTTATTTTCACCATGCTAGAATTATACAATAAAACATTTTAATGGCTTATTTGGTCTTTCACCAGTTTTAACACTTTTAAAGCTGCATGCATCTGAAGGATGAGTGAAGTATTTCAAGAAAATCAAACTTGAGAAAAATGTACTAAGATTTTAAGAAAAGTAAAAACGATTTATGATTCAAGTGATAATTTACATGTGCGATTAATGACCGATTTTGTTTCAGTCAAACAAAACGTTGCTTTAAGGTATACTTGAAAAAATCATGTTTAAGTAAATATTCCACCTTTCTAGATTTACTTTTTTGAGAATGATCCTTTGTACATTATTTCTTACACAAACTAGTACATGTGCTGTTGCAAGTCATACAAAGTGAACAATCATGCATTGAGGTAAGAACTTGTATGTTTACTTACCAATTCTTTTTCTCTAGTAATGAGACTATACATGTATTCAAAACTTCGTGGAATCACTCCTCGTTGTTCATGCTGGAAATTCTCAGCATCTTCTGATGGTCCTATATTAAAGGAGAAGACCACTGCTTTACATATAATAATTTATTGATATGCTTTAACTCTGTCATAAAATCATTTTTTTAGTTTTAGTTTATACAAAATTATTATAGTTTGTGTTGGACGCTATAAGCACTCTCAACTCCATTTCTGGAACCAAACAGTACTAAGCAATGAGTATAGTTTCTTGCTCACAAGTTGCCCTTGAAAGCAATCCTTAGATTTTTAGTAAGATGCATTAACCACTTGGCCATGTCAACATTTTGTGAGGTGCCTTTTTGTGCAATATTTAAGGCATAAACCGGCATCTGAGTAGAACCACCAACATTCCTTAAGATAGCTGGATAGCTTTCAAACTTAAGAGAATTTGAAGAAGCTGGATCAGCTCAAACCTACAGCTGTGAGAAGCAAGTGGTTTGAAGTCAATGACCTTAACCACTTGGCCATGATGGATGCCCAAAAGAGAAATTAGATAAATTAATTTATAAAATTAATCAAAGAAATATGCAACTAGAAATAATGTGTGTATAAGTAATGTCATAAGGAAATTTTGGACAACACTTTCAGAAAACTATAGTCGTTTTATCATTAACTATTATATCAGATTTGTTTACCAGACCTATCTTAAGAAAGAATAGGAACAATGTATTAAGATAGTACTAGAGATAAAACATCAGAATTCCACTTACCCATCATGGTAAATGTTTTACCAGAACCTGTCTGGCCACTGAAATGTCAAAAAATATCTCAACTTTATCTTAATCTCAGAACAGTTCTGCTAAATACAATCAACTCTCACTACGGCATAAAAAATTCAAGAGCTGTCAGTAGGACAGCCGACTTAACTATTCCCAGTGCTTGATAGTAAAACGAGAGCCTGGATAATGTAGAATTAATCAAGTTCAAAAGGGCCGTATCTCTCTCAAAATGTGAATTAGAGTTATAAGCCTTGGATGGTGACCTACTATTATGCTATCAAACAAGTGTGTAAAGTTTTAATTCATTCCCTCAAGTGGTTATGGAGAAACCAAGTTGCATGCAAAAACTTAACCAAAGTTTTGGGTGATTACAAAAGCTCTCCTTATTCAGTCAAGGTATTCAAATCAGTCAAACAAAATTTTGACTTATTTCTATCAATCTAACAGTAATTACTGCACAAATTCCAAAAGTATAAACAGCCATGCATTGTATTAACATTTTATCATATTTACTGAAAATTTGACATTGACTTCACGTGTCATGATCAGTAGTAAATCACAATGTTGATTAACTTGTGTATAGGCTGGAGGCCAAATGATGCAATAAATCTTAATTGAATATTTAGGAACGCAAAAAACATATGCAGTAGTACACATTTTGCAATGAAAATTCTTTTGCGTTCTAAAAATAAACCTGACTATATCAAAGCCTTAATTTAAACCAAATTTTGCACCAGATGACAAAATGTCTGAAACTGATGTAAATGTGAACATACTATTTCAGATTTAGAATCAATATGAACAAAAAGTTGCTTTCTCAAATAACAAAAAATAGCTTTCAAAAGATAAAATGACTTACTAGGCAAAAATGGTACCATTGTATCCAGCAATGCAGTTCTCTATCACCTTCTTACCAAGTTTGGAAAAAATTGTTTCCTGAATAATAGAAATGGTCAAATATTATGAATGAATTGTGATCATTGCTCTATCATTATACAGTATCAAGATACAATAATGAGGTATTGACATCTGGTGATACATATAACTATTGTTAGGTTTCACTGTTTAGACAGTAAGTACTATAGTTTCAGCTACTTGTACCTTCTTGTTGTTGATTACTTTATGCCTGCCAGGGGAAAGATGTGTAAAAACTCATTTAAAGATTTAAAGTTTGTTTTAGTCATGATCTGGTCACTAAGGTCGGGACTGAGGTATAACAGAATAAACTTATTAAACAGAACCAGGGCCTTTTTTCACAGGTTGGGGGAGCAGCCCTACTTTTAATTTGGGCGAAAAAATACTAGGTAAATTAGCAAAAGGGGAAGAAAAAACTGTATGTAAATTCAATTTTTGAGGGAACCTGCATGATTTTGAAGAATTTTTCTATGGAGAAGCAGCCCTATAATGGCCCCAGCTATAGAAGGAAACTGGAAATGTGTCCATAGGACACAGATGCCCCCACACGCCACTGTTCTGTCAATCTTATGACTCTAGGTCAAATATTTTTTGGACTACATGTGCCACAAGTTGAAAACTAACTAGAAATGTGTCCATAGGACACGGATGCCCCCACACGCCACTGTTCTGTCAATCTTATGACTCTAGGTCAAATATTTTTTGGACTACATGTGCCACAAGTTGAAAACTAAAAATCAACAAAGGGCCATAATTCTGTTAAATTTGGTCGCAGCAAAAATTCCTACCTTTACTACCATCTACACATTAAGGTTGTTAATCCCTGGAAGTTTAAGCAAAATCTGCCATCCAGTTTAAGAGGAGTTGCGTTCACAAAATTTCTACATAGTATATAATGATAAAATCAACAAAGGGCCATAATTCTGTTAAATTTTTGTTGCAGCAAAAATTCCTTCCTTTACTACCATCTACACATAAAGGTTGTTCATCCTTGGAAGTTTAAGCAAAATCTGCCATCCTGTTTAAGAGGAGTTGCATTCACAAAATTTCTACATAGTATATAGTGAAAAAATCAACAAAGGGCCATAATTCTATAAAATTTGGTCGCAGCGAAAATTCCTTCCTTTACTCCCATCTTCACCTTAAGGTTGTTCATCCCTGTAAGTTTAAACAAAATCTACCATGCGGTTTAAGAGGAGTTGCGTTCACAAAATTTCTACATAGTATATAGTTAAAAAATCAACAAAGGGCCATAATTCTGTAAAATTTGGTCGCAGCAAAAATTCCTTCCTTTACTACCATCTACACATGAAGGTTGTTCATCCCTGTAAGTTTAAGCAAAATCTGCCATGCGGTTTAAGAGGAGTTGCGTTCACAAAATTTCTACATGTATAGTATATAGTGAAAAAATCAACAAAGGGCCATAATTCTGTTAAATTTGGTCGCAGCAAAAATTCCTTCCTTTACTACCATCTACACATTAAGGTTGTTCATCCCTGTAAGTTTAAGCAAAATCTGCCATGCGGTTTTAGAGGAGTTGCGTTCACAAAATTTCTACATAGTATCTAGTGAAAAAATCAACAAAGGGCCATAATTCTGTTAAATTTGGTCGCAGCGAAAATTCCTTCCTTTACTACCATCTACACATTAAGGTTGTTCATCCCTGTAAGTTTAAGCAAAATCTGCCATGCGGTTTAAGAGGAGTTGCGTTCACAAGATATCGGGACGTACAGACGGACTGACGGACGGACGGACAAGTGCAACGCTATATGCTCCCACATTGTGGGGGCATAAAAATCAACAAAGGGCCATAATTCTGTTAAATTTGGTCAAAGCAAAAATTCCTTCCTTTACTACCATCTACACATTAAGGTTGTTAATCCCTGAAAGTTTAAGCAAAATCTGCCATCCGGTTTAAGGAGTTGCGTTCACAAAATTTCTACATAGTATCTAGTGAAAAAATCAACAAAGGGCCATAATTCTGTTAAATTTGGTTGCAGCTAAAATTCCTTCCTGTACTGCCATCTACACATTAAGGTTGTTCATCCCTGGAAGTTTAAGCAAAATCTGCCATCCGGTTTAAGAGGAGTTGCATTCACAAAATTTCTACATAGTATATAGTGAAAAAATCAACAAAGGGCCATAATTCTTTTAATTTGGTCGCAGCAAAAATTCCTTCCTTAGCTACCATCTACACATTAAGGTTGTTCATCCCTGGAAGTTTAAGCAAAATCTGCCATCTGGTTTAAGAGGAGTTGCGTTCACAAAATTTCTACATAGTATATAGTGAAAAAATCAACAAAGGGCCATAATTCTGTTAAATTTGGTCGAAGCAAAAATTCCTTCCTTTACTACCATCTACACATTAAGGTTATTCATCCCTGAAAGTTTGAGCAAAATCTGCCATCCGGTTTAAGAGGAGTTGCGTTCACAAAATTTCTACATAGTATCTAGTGAAAAAATCAACAAAGGGCCATAATTCTGTTAAATTTGGTCACAGCGAAAATTCCTTCCTTTACTACCATCTACACATTAAGGTTGTTCATCCCTGTAAGTTTAAGCAAAATCTGCCATCCGGTTTAAGAGGAGTTGCGTTCACAAGATTTCGGGACGTACGGACGGACTGTCAGTCCGGACGGACGGACGGACGGACAAGTGCAACGCTATATGCTCCCACATTGTGGGGGCATAAAAAGCCCTGAGAACTATAGATCATGGTATAATGGATATTTACGAAGAAAGACCTGAACATTACAAATTACAGCAGGCTTGGCTCTATACTGGTGACAAAAAATAATTAATCACTAAGTTTTTTAAAGAAATGATGTATAAAAACAAATTAACACAGACCTGTCTTGAGTCCACATCTGCCACATAGTCAAAGGCAAACACCTTGCTCTTTGGTTGCTGTCTAAGTATGACCTGGGCATTATTTGGGTCCGCATCAACAACTCTCGCATTACCAGGCTCATCTTGACACGGAGGTCTTATTCTTACAAACACCTGGATGTTGTTGTCCCTGAAAGAACCAATATATCACTTATTCCATCATATTATTAGAAGGTGTATAGAAAATAATACACATCAGAAAATTTATAATTTCATGCAAAATTAATAATCAATTCAGTGAGTAAAATGATTTGACATGGTGGTATTTTTTTACTAACTTTGATCAGAAGTGCTAGAATTTTTTTTCCCAAAGGAGTTTTATCAATGGTGAATGGCCATTCAAAATTCTGTTGTTTTTTCTAGCACATTAAAATTAGCAATTAAAAAACCCAACCTATTTTCATGACAACATATTTTCAGTTCTTGAGCTATAAACATGTAGATCTAAGTATTATTATTATAATTAATTATTATTAATGAGCCTGTAGACATTTTTGGAAAAAAAATACTTTTGATATCTTGAAACTTTATATCATTGAATCTAATTAACATAAATTTATATTCTGTTATTAAGAAACTAACTTACCCTGAGTCTAAATTCGAATCTGAAAATAAAAACAATAGAAAGGTGAAAAAAAATTTCATTACTAAATTTTAATGCTGATTTTAAGAGATATAACTGATCAGAAGATCTTTCTAAATATTAACTTAGAATTACTATAAGAAAGCCCTAGGAGGTATTTTAAGGTCCTTTGTGCCTCCCTAGCAGTCTTTTGTACATCTGAGCAGTCCTTAGCGGTCCGGCAACTCATAAAATTTGCACCAAAATAATATTTTTTCTTAAAATTATAATTTTTTTTTCACTAAACATTCTACCATGTATTATAAGAATGCCCTAGGAGGTATTTTAAGGTCCTTTGTGCCTCCCTAGTAGTCCTTTGTGGCTCCTTAGCAGTCCTTAGCTGTCCTTAGCAGTGTTTAGTAGGTCCTACTAAACACTGCTAAGGACCGCTAAGGACTGCTCAGATACACAAAAGACTGCTAGGGAGGCACAAAGGACCTTAAAATACCTCCTAGGGCATTCTTATAATACAAGGTAGTATGTTTAGTGACAAAAAATGTATTATTTTAAGAAAAAATATCATTTTAGTGATAAAATTTATGTTTTTGAAGAGTTGCCAGACCGCTAAGGACTGCTCAGGTGCACTAACAACTGCTAGGGAGGCACAAAGGACCTTAAAATCCCTCCTAGAACATTCTTATAATATATGGTAGTAAGTGAATAGACAAAAATGTATTATTGTAAGGAAAAATATAATTTTTGTGATAGAATTTATGCTTTCCATGAGTTGCAGGACCGCTAAGGACTGCTCAGGTGCGCAAAGGACTGCTAGGGAGGCACAAAAGACCTTAAAATATTTCCTAGGGAGGCACAAAGGACCTTAAAATACCTCCTAGAACATTCTTATAATATAATTTTTATGGTAGTATGTTTAGTGACAAAAAATGTGTTATTTTAATAAAAAATAAAATTTTGGTGATAGAATTTATGTTTTTTCAATGAGTTGCCAGACGGCTAAGGACTGCTCAGGTACACAAAAGACTACTAGCGAGGCACAAAAGACCTTAAATTACTTCCTAGGGCATTTTTCTATTATATTGTAGTAAGTTAATAGATAAAAAAATGTATTATTTTAAGAAAAAATATAATTTTGGTGATAGAATTTATGTCTTCGATGAGTTGCAGGACCGCTAAGGAATGTTAGGGAGGCACAAAGGACCTTAAAATACCTCCTAGGGGCACCAAGGACAACTAGGGAGGCACAAAGGACCTTAAAGTACCTCCTAAAGCATTGTTTTAATACATGTTAGTATGTTTAATGACAAAAAATGTATAATTTTAAGAAAAAATTAAATTTTGGTGATAGAATTATGCTTTTGATGAGTTGCAGGACAGCTAAGGACTGCTAGGGAGGCACAAAGGACTGCTAGGGAGGCACAAAGGACCTTAAAATACCTCCTAGGGCATTCTTGTAATATATGGTAGTATGTTTAATGACAAAAAAATGTATAATTTTAAGAAAAAATATAATTTTAGTGATAGAATTTATGCTTTCGATGAGTTGCCGGACTGCTATGGACCGCTAGGGAGGCACAAAGGGCGTTAAAGGATCTCTAAAGAAATTCTTGTAATATATGGTAGTATGTTTAATGACAAAAAATGTATTACTTTAAGAAACTAGAAATGTGTCCATAGGACACGGGTGCCCCCACTGCGACACTGTTCTGTCAATCTTTTTACTAAGTCAAGGGAAATAAGTCTACAAATACTGGATAAATCCACAAGCGAAACCCCAGGTGCAAATCTAAAATATGCTGAGCAACCTGCCCATAAGGTTTATTGACTATGTCAAATCCTTTTTGAGAAACTTGCGACACAAGTTGAAAATTGCAAAAATTTACTAAGTGAAGGGCAATAACTCTAAAAATACTAAATAAATCCAGACGAAAATACCTGGTGCACAACTTCACATGCTGATCAACATTCCTGTAAAGTTTCATGACTGTAGGTCAAATACTTTTTGAGTTACATGCGACACAAGTTGAAAATTGCAAAATTTTACTAAGTCAAGGGCAATAACTCTGAAAACACTAAAAATATCCAGACCAAAATACCCAGGTGCACAACTACACATGCTGATCAACATTCCTGTAAAGTTTCATGACTCTAGGTCAAATACTTTTTTAGTTACGTGCGACACAAAAGTGAACGGACGGACGGACGGACAAGGGTAAATCTAAATGCCCGCCACTAACGTGGGGGCACAAAAATATAATTTTGGTGATAGAATTTATGTTTTCGATGAGTTGCTGGACCACTTAGGACTGCTAAGGGGCACAAAGGAATGCTAGGGAGGCACAAAAGACCTTAAATTAATAATAATTAGAGTGTAATAATTCTATTTAATTTTGTTTAGTGATCTTTCTTTTTTTTATGTATTTTGGTGTTGATTATTATGTTTTGGATGAGTAACAGGACTGCATAGGATGTGAAAATTGACTTGGTCTTTAAGTAAATGCTCTTATGTTAAGTGGTAATCAAATGTATAAAGAATATCACTGTAGTGAATGAAATTATATTATGAAGAATTGAAGAAGAGCAATTTTAAGTTCAAAGGAAATTAGATGTAATAAATGATCCAATAAATATATTTACCATGTAACTGGTGCTTATTGATAGTCTTACTATGAAAATGTTACAAAAATTGCCATTTTCTCCGGCAATTATGTAACAGTTGTCTGTAACATCCGTCCCTATCATCAGTATTAAATATATATGAGCCGCGTCACAACAAAACCAACATAGTGTGTTTGTGACCAGCATGGATCCAGACCAGCCTGCGTATCCGCGCAGTTTGATCAGGATCCATGCTATTCGCTATCAATTTCTCTACTTGTAATTTAGGGTTTGTAAGCAAACAGCATGGATCCTGATCAGACTGCGTGGATGCGCAGGCTGGTCTGGATCCATGCTGGTCGCAAAGCCATTATGTTAGTTTTGTCATGACGCGGCTCATATGGTGCTTACTAAATCTCACAAAGGGAGTTTTATGCTAAATCTCCAAAGCGACTGATATTATTTTTTTCTACAAAAATTATTTACATGAAAAGATTATATGTTACTCTAACCTTCAGTGAAACATAATATTAAAGCTAAAATGAATTTCGGACAAATATAAATATATATATATATACTCATCGAAAACATAAATTCTATCACTAAAAATTATATTTTTTCTTACAATAATACATTTTTTGTCACTAAACATACTACCATGTATTATAAGAATGTTCTAGCAGGGCTCGACACTAACGATGGTCCGTTAGCCCGAGGCTACCTTTTTTCCATAAGGACTACCTAAGTTTCCAAGTTGGGTATCCCGTCGGGCTACTCGAAATTTTAGTGACCTGATACATTTAAATTCATTTAAAATAATAATAAAATAACAATTGTTATGATACAAATTGTACGAATTCAAAACGAAACCGGAAATTCATCTTTCTGGTAATTAAATGTCCGTTGGGTCGCTAATGATCGTAAAGTTAAGCGCTTGGAATTGCAAGCGTCGGCTACCTACGAGTGTAAACTTAAGCGAAAATATGTGGCGTTTCATTGAAAATGTTCAAGAGCCGGCCAAAAAAAAGGCCAAAACACGAGACCAACAGCTTGAGGCACAGCGTGAATATGACAAAACCAAAAGGGATCGTAATTTTCAACCGTCCTGGTCGAAAGAATTTCCATGGTTGACATTTGATAACGATAAAAAGTTGATGTTTTGCAAGGTTTGCCAAAAAATTTGATACAACCGGCACATTTGTTAATGGCTGTAATAACTTTAGATTGCAAAGTGTCCGTATTCATGATAAGTCAGAGGGCCACTTACGTTGTGTAGGAATGGCAGATAACACTCCTAGCTCAGAAGGCCATAGAACTTTAAAATTGTTGAATTCTGCAGCACATGCAAAGTTAAGGCATTTATTCATGAACGCTCACTTTGTTGCTAAGTGTGGACGACCATACACAGATTACGTTCAGTTATGCAAGTTGGACATTGCAAAAGGGCTGGACATTGGCAGTACTTATCTAACAGACAAAAGCTGTCAGATGTTTTATATCTTCAATTGCGGACACAATTCGAACTAGACAGGATGCAAAAATAAAAGCAAGTCCATTCATATCAGTAATCAGTGACGGGTCTACAGACACATCTTCACAAGAGGTTTGAAATTGTTGTACGTCCGTTCATCAGTCAGATTGGCAAAAATGTGATAAGAGTTTTAATATTCCTTTTATAATTTATGAATAAATTTAAATTTGAGTGAGAGTTAAAACCTTGATCGATTGGGAATCAAGTTTATCAAAACTATCAATGTTACAACACCTGAAGTTATGGTACATGTTTGACCTTATGTTTTAAAAAAACCCCGATGAAATGACTTTTGTGATTGTTTGGACCTCAAAATTTTTTGAATATGCTATCTCAATGGTATTTTATAACATTTTTTAGTTTAATAATAAAACAGTATAATCTAAAATATCTAAAAAATCGTAATAAATATATAATTATAGATATCCTTTATTAACCCCAAGTTGTAAAATTTTTAAATTATTTTAGGTGTCCACACAATTTTCATTTGGGCATCAGAAATGTTGCCAAAGCTGATAGCACGAATATCAGCAATGCCATTATTAATGTCCTGAATGATCGTTATGGGGAGGATTGGAAAGAAAAAGTGATAGGAGTTGGCAAAGATGGTGCATCTGTGATGCTTGGCAAGAAATCGGGGGTGGTTGTTAAGCTTAGGGAACATACCAACAGGCCATTTATATATGGCATTCACTGCTCAGCACATAGGTAATCATTAAATTAATTACTTTTTACAGCAAAGTTGTATGGAAAAATTATATATATATAAATTCAAAAATAAAAGAAATAATTGTCATTCATTGCTCTTTTGAAATGAAAAATAAAATTCATTTACCTTCATTTTTTTATATTGCTTTCATTTCAGTTTTCATCAAGTGACTTTTTTCATATATTTG